ATTGTCCATTTATAAAGAGAAGTGTATGGTTTAAAATAAAGGACAGTGTCACACTTTGTACTCTTGTTTTCTACCAAACTTGAATGTTTCATGTCGGTAACATTTAAATTCAAAGTTATTAATTATATATAGGCAAGCACATATTCTGAAAATCATGTACATGTATATACAATCCATTCATAATAAAGCAGTAATATCTTTCTTTTAATTTATAATAACTTATTCGCTTTTACAGGTAATCCCAATAGAGTCATATATTTTTTCTAGGGTTAAAGCCGGTGCAATTTATTTAAAATCTATAGTTATTTTGAAAAGTAAACATTACTCAACAGAATTCTTTACAAATCGATTCTACGTTTAATCAATGTCATAAAACGCTTTTGACAAGACCGAAATACATGCTTCCACTTACAGTGATAAAACCTGTTCAAGCCGTTTATTCGAATTTGAGTAGATTCGTTAGAGAAGAATTTGTCCCGGGTCATTTCTGTATTTACATTGTCAAATACCTTATTCAAAACATGAAGTGATGTTTTAGAATGATCGGAACTCTTCTGTGTGGCGAAACATGATTGGGAATGACATTTTTCACAGGAAGTGCCATTGAGCATGTGTGGTCAAAATAATGGGCTCATTATTAACGAATGACACAATCAAATTATCGTTGTGATCAATGTTACAAAAGCTATGTCTTTTCAGAAGATATTTCAGTACACAGTTATATAACAGTTGAATCCACTGTTGTCTGAGTAGGTCGGTAAAATGTAGAAGACAATCGTGAACTTTTACTTAAAAATTAAACTTTTTTTATCAAAATTATAATGTAAACTGATATATTTTTTGGCTCATTCATGCACGAAAACGAGTTACCAAATTAAATACATTGCATTCTTTGGCCTGACAATTTTTAGAGCATATTATCAGTATAGATTGTTATGAATACTTAATTGCAATAATTTATCGTCTGCTTCAACATGATTAAGAATAATGGATGAAACATAACAAACCTTTTGACAATTATAATAATTATGATATCTTTTTATTTTTTAAATGTAAAATTTGAATAACCTTACACAATTTTTTAAACCAAATAAATCTTCTGAAGACCAATTCACGTGCTATGGGATTGCAATAAAAAACGTGCAAAAAGTTTTAAAGGGGTGTTTTTGGGTGGTAATTCCAGTTGTTTTAACTAGTCATTATATATCTTTATTCAAGATTTGCATCTCTTGAGTTCGCAGTGTGCAACACCATTCATCAAATTTCGGTATTCTCGTCTTTAACGAGATTTGACGTTTGAATAAAAGATAATACCTGGGTATACAGATGCCTCGTTTTCAATGATATATAGAATGGGCCGCCTTATTTGTAACTGCGCAAGTTTATATTTCTTTACGAGATCATGAAACTCGGTTTCCTCATTTCTTTTACTTGTCAGTTACATTTAAAGTGATTAAATCAACGATGTTTGTTGAAGTAGCAAGGGGGTACTTGAGAAGCCCATCAGCCCCTGGGCTATTTGTGATAGATCTTACAGTAGCCTTTTTTGATCCAGTTTCGAATTTTAACGCGATCAGATGTCCTAACACTTAATCCTTGTTGATCATGTTTTTGGTCAATGACTCTCCACACATTGTCGTCTGCTAAGCAAATAATTTTTATTGAGGAGGACATGGTAACAGTCCAAAGTAAAGTCTATCTTGGTCCGTACAGCAATTGAAAAAAAAAGTCTATTTTTCATCTAAATAATTATGTACATCATAAATACAGTCCGACCCCGGTTATTCGACAACCCTTTATTCGAATACCCGGCATTATCCGAAGTAGATCGGCGGTCCCGTTTTTATCTCTATATAAAACAATATAAATACGAGCGTATTATTCGAAATGCATTATCCGAATACCTCCTATTTTTCGAAGTAAAATTTCGGTCCCGATTATACAATTATGAAAGAATTTCACACCTATTATTCGAAGCCAGCCTAATTATTATTCGAAGCCAGACTAATTGGCGCAGATCCACTCGCTGACCAGTCGACTTGTGAAAAAAATCCACAGTCATGCGTGTAATTAGACAATCATGATAATAACTCTTTGTTCTCTAATTACCGAAAATGAAAAGCTATGCACCGTGTCCGATTTTGTTGAAAATGACAGCAATAATCTTTATACAATCCGTATATGTGAATTTGTCAAAACATGCAAAACATTTTTTTCATTAATTGCAACGCTACACGAGAGCCTTAATTTATCCTAATCGAAAACTCCAGAGTTTAGCTGTAAATACCGTAGTGACGACACGGCCATTATCAAGGCTTTGCGCGAAACGAAACGATACATAATGTAAAATAAAATGCAATTATTTATGTCTTCAATGTCAATACAATAATTTTTAAGCATCTTTTCTTAAATATTTATTTTTCTCAATTGATTACAGGAAGCAAGTGTGTTGTAAACGGTAGTTTTGCGATGATTGGTCAAAGTGGAGTAGTTTTCGTCTATCACAATATTTCGATTTCGATTATTCGAACCCATCGATTATTCGAAGTAAAAATTCAGTCCCAGGCACTTCGAATAAACGGGGTTGGACTGTACATGCATCATAAATAAAATTTAAAAAAAAGGAAAATCATCAATTGAGCTGTCGAAGGTCCGAACAATAGCATCTATCTTTTCATCATCTATTTAGCTTAGTCTAAATAATGCCAAAACCCCATCCTGCCGACGTACCGGTGTTTGTACATTAACGTCGCAAAATAAAAAATAATATTAACAATAATTAAAAGGTCGATTTAAAAAGGAATAAAGATAAAAAAGTAAAATTCACAGATTAGGAACTAGGGTAATACATTTTGATGTAGGATGATTAGGATTGAACTGTTCTGAGGTAGGGACAGCGTCAATATCAGGTGGTAAAGGGTTTCAATAGTATGTCGTTCTAGGAAAAAAAAGAGAAATTGCCTTGAATATATTTCAACGGACATGTCTTACACAGAATGGTTGTTTGAAAAATTTGAATTTAGGTTGGCCTAGTTATGATGCCTGTTATAAAAGATATCTCACTATCTATTTCACAAATTTATTTCTTCAGTGTGGGAAATAGATAGTAAATTATTTAATTGTTTCCAGAATGATTCCAAAATAAAAAATACGGATAGTGTTTTTATGAGGTCTTCAATCGATGGTGCTAGTTTTAATTGTTAACAAGTGTTTTTGAATCATCTCTGAAGTTTTATGAATAAAAACTGAAATGAGTCCCGATGCTTTAAAATGTTTTAAGAATATTACTACATGCCGACCTTTTTATTTCTTTTTTTACTGTGACAAGAAAAATGGCCATTTTTCATAATTTTTATTACCGGATGAATCACACCACGCGGTTAAATAAACCTGAACAACCGCGAACTATTTCTTCCTTAATTTTCATAATATTAATTAATTATCATGACGAATTTAACTGTAAATGACTGAACTGGAAAACAATGATGATTTTTAGATGATAATGATAGAAAAATGGTAAAAAAAAGCCAATTTAAACATTTAAAAGTGTCTGAAGGGAAAACATATCCATTCATGAAACTTGAGCGCATTAATTTCTTTTCTCACATATGTTTAGATTTGACCTAACTAAATAACTGAAACTGATATCTTTACATAAATTCTTCACAAAATGTATGCCCAATGCCCAAAACAAATTTGTTAACATCGGACCCTTTTTCTAAATTAATCTCCCAAAAGACCTATCAGTTTTCTTAAGCGTTTTGAGGACATAGATTATGACGATAAATCTCGTTTGATCTCGTACTGAACGTGAAATTCAATCCGTGAACATGCGTGTCTCACTGTCATAACATACATACACGTGTCTGAAATCTGTCAAATTTTATTTCTAACATGCTTAGCCCCTTTTGACTGGTTGAGATTTTTATTCAATCGAAATAAGTCACATGGGTAAAGTTTAATAGTTTTTTTTAGACAATACGTTATAGAAACGGACAGCTTTGATCAAAAAGGGCCACTAATCTGTCAATTCCGCTAACCTTCATGTCAACTATGTTAGATTAAGACGTCACACTCTGTCTATTTTAATGCTGTACTTTTCAGTGCACATTGGGACAAATCTTTTATGTATATGCAATGTAAATATTAAACATTCATAAACAGCAAACAATTGCACATCTAAATGGATTCAAATACAGCAGGGACATTCTCTATAAGTATAACAAATCAATTATTGATTTTAAAAAATCAAATAAAGAAAAAGCAAGCAAAAAATAAATAAATAATAATAAAATATCATTAAGATATTCTTATTGAATATTTCTTTAAAAAAAAGGAAATGTTGACAGAGATCTATGTGATTCATTATGAACAATATGAACATTTTATATGATGAATACTAATATTAATATGTTGTTTAAGAACAATTAATTATCCCTACATTTATATATAGATATGTAATATGGAATCATGAATCCCCCGCATAGTTTACCATATATAATTCTTTTCCTGTTTGTTGTCATATATATGATGCTAAATATTATCAAGGAAACAGTTTCTAAAAAGCTCGTAGCTTTCTAATTATTCTTTTATTACATTATTCAAATTTTGATTGTAATTGTATCGAGCATATGTGCTTGATTGAAATATTGTTTAAACTAAATATAATAAACATATTTATTTATGGTATGACAGATGTCCCATTACATGAAGCAATTCACAAATATGAAATAATGATATATGCAAATATGAATAATATCACAATAAAAATATCTTAATCCAATAAAGATGATCTTTGACATCTAGATGAATTAACTAATAAATACATGTGTATTCTTATCAATTCTAAGTCAAATTTAGATATGTCAATTGTTGTTGTTGATGATGATGATGATGACGATGATTATGATGATGATGATGTTATTATTATTATTATTATTTATTTATTTATTTATTTATTTATTTATTTATTTATTTATTTATTTATTTATTTATTTTAGGATCCTCATCCATTTGGCGGCACACCACTTGCTATGTTAGCGGCTCAATGTAATAAAATTTCGGCTAAAACTCAAGCTCCTTTATCCAACAACGATATGACGAAAGGATTTCATCCGTGGAAGAAGCCAATTACAGCAATGGACGCTCCAAGTCCGTTGTCTTTCACTTCACAAAGGATGGCCGGTTTTAATTCGTCGATGTCAATGACGTCATCAGGTTTTAACTATGCGCGCGCAAATCCTTTGCAAAGTTGTTCCGGTGCATACGGAAGTGAACTATTTTACCCGTCGTCAACCGGAAGTTACACTCATTCTCAAACGGAAAGCTGCCAAGCAGCGCTGTCTCAAAAGATGTATAATGACACAGGGTTTTCTAACTCAAACTTAGGTAATATGTATTCTAGAGTAGCAAATGCTCCAATATATGACTCCTGGTCTTCATACATGCCTAGTGCAAATACCCATGGATTAAAATCTGATTTGACTTCTTCTATGAATTCGCCAGCATCGTGGTGGGATATGCATTCAAACCCATCCAACTGGCTGTCGGACATAACTGGGTCATCAAATAGCATCCATTCTCAGATTTCCACGAATTATCCCAATTCGGACTCTTTAAATGCATTTGGACATGCTTTAGGTTCGAATAGTTCCACTTTTCCCCATTTGCTCCAGGATTCATATAAATCCATTATGCCGCCAAATAGTGACTTGACTGCTTCTGCTGTAAATCCATTCGCACTATCTCGGACTGCAGCAATGACGTCATTGAACCCATCTCGGTCACAGAGACGTTATACGGGAAGAGCAACATGTGATTGTCCAAACTGTCAGGAGGCCGAACGTCTTGGTCCTGCAGGCGCTCATTTAAGAAAGAAGAATCTGCATAATTGTCATATACCCGGATGTGGAAAGGTTTACGGGAAAACGTCACATCTGAAAGCTCACTTGCGGTGGCATACTGGTAGGTTAAATACAGTAAAGAAGAAAAAACACCTTTCATAAGCTCGTAAAACTTTGGCTTATTTCGTGACTTTCCGTTCGTTAAAATTCGGAAAATATTGTGTTCCGGTGTTGGATCACATTCTTGGAAACGTCCGCCATATGAACAATGGTATTGGAAATGTTCTCGAATCATCGCTTTTTGTATAATATCATATATGGAAAGTTGCGAAGTGGGAGAAAATTATACGAACTTTTTTTCTGGTGGAAAAAAATGTACATATCATTTATTCTTTGTTAAAATTCATAAGAGCATGTGTTATAAACTAACGTTAAATTTTTAGTTTTATCTCTTATTTAAAAACGCTAGCCATTTCTGTAAATATAATTTTGAATAATAGATGTAATGTCTATGCAACATTTAAAACAAATATGAATAAAAAGTTCATATTCTTTTCTACAGGGGAGCGGCCATTTGTTTGCAATTGGTTATTTTGTGGGAAACGCTTCACGCGATCAGACGAACTACAACGTCATCTAAGAACGCATACTGGTGAAAAAAGATTTGCATGTCCTACTTGCAATAAGCGATTCATGCGCAGTGACCATCTTAGTAAGCACGTGAAAACACATAATAATGACAACAAAAAGTCGGCTAGTGGGAGTGACTCTGAAAATAGTCAAGATACGAATGCAAATTCTCCAGTTAAAAATGGCTGCCAACAAAGTTCTCCCTTGAAAACTAAAAGTTAATTAGAGGAACTACTTTTTTATATTTATTATCTTTGATAAATTATATCTTAAAGTGCCTAGAAGAACCAAGTTCTTATTGTCATACGTGTTTTATAATCAACAATAATATAACTGAACGTTTTTCTCGTGAATTCGCGTGATTTCATAGTCAGTAGACGCTTGAAGACAGGGAAGTGTCCAGTTAACTGAAAAATATATAGCAATAAATGTTGAGAAATTTCAAGACCTGTTATGTGTGTTCTAAAAGAGAGAAATAAAAAATGTGTTCTCATTTGATTTGTAAAACTATGAAAGGGTACACGCCATTACAAAATGATACAGTGTTAATAAAAATAATATATACTCGTCATTATTCAGGAAAAGTAGATAATGTGACATTGTTGGTGCTTTTTTAATGAAATTATCCGTCCAGAGTTTAAACTCAAGATGCCACATGTAACCTCATGATTTACATTCAAATTAATAAGAGTATAGTAAATAAAAGAATCTTTAGAAAAGAAAGGACTGAAAATGTCATAAGTGTGTGTTATTATGCTAAAACTTAAAATTGTCATGAGTTTTCGCGACTCAAAATATGTAATACTGCAAGTTAGAAATATCTCTCAATTTTATGTAATTTTTGTTCTGGATTATAAAAAACTATGTTTCTGAATATCATAGTTTAGATAATTTAATGTGAATAAAAATCACAAAAGTTTTCTTCATTTTTTCTTTATATTGCAATACTGTACTGTCACACTGTGAATTTAAATTGTTAAAATAAATGTTTTTAAAAAGGCAGTTTGTCGTTTTAAGATTTAATTGTTCGAAATATTATATATGTATATAGAATAAGAATGAAGAAGAATGCTGACACATTAAGCTTTTTTGATGATAATGAGTAAATGTATTTTTGTTAATGAAATGAATTATTGTAAAAAGAATGGATATTTTACTTAGTTTTGCAGTGCATAATTTCTTGTAAGCAGCACCTCATCATATAAAACATACATATATTAAGATTATAAGATTATCACATTTAGGTTATATTTAAGTGCTCTTTATAAAACTAAAAAATAAATAAATAAATAAAATATGTTCCTACTTGCACAATGCAATTTTTCCTTACGTCCAGATTTTTGCTCGACTTTTCTCACTATCCATTGGCGATATTCATCTTAAACCTCAGATTTGTGTTCATTGTTGTAATGGTGGGACACCAACAAAGGCCCGTAACTCTTACATGGACATTAACTTAATCCTACCTCTTTGTGAAAATTCTTGTACAACTTTGTTTTTCTCCACAATCTCACAATCTCAAAATTTTAGCTCATTGACCGATACCCTCTAAATAACTTTTACAGGATTTTTCCCCTGAATTAATTCCCTTGTTGAATCAGAATATTCCTGTAACAGTCTTGCTTTACTGTCAAGCACTGGGAATAGTGGCCAAATATGAATTTGAGTGATATCTATTTCCTAATTATTTATGAAAAATACAATGTGCATAAGAAATGTTTTCATATGTTCAATGTAATGCGCCGTTCTTTAATTAACTGTTTGATTTAAATTTACTTTCATTATGTATTATATACATGTACAGTTGTATATGGTTTTTTGGAGACTGCCTTATTATAAGTTTACATAATATGTTGTCATATATATATACATATGTTTTCTATTTGAATGATTTGCAAAATAACTGTGGCCATAATTATACAATGTTAAGTTGAAAGCTGCTTTTATAGCATTAAAATATATGCAATTACAGGACATTTTTTCTGATGCGTTGTTTAAGAAATAAAATTGAAAGAAAATTCTTTTTCTTATTGTGTTATAACTAAATTCACATATTAACTCACTGTTACGGTCCTGGAAGCATGTGTACGAGTTGCCATATTGGTATTCTCCGAAATGACGTCAAAGTTGTAAACACCCTCTCACGTGACAGAAATGTACTAAAATAGAATTACGGACATAGAATGTCGGTGGAAGGCGATATTGGCATCAACCTGTTTAGTAACAATCATTGGAATAACAGGGGCATCACTCTAAACCTAAACTTTCCATGTCTCTTGTTATATTTGGGAATTACAAGGACATCACTCTTATTCTATACTTTGACTACCTCTGTTATATTTGGGAATTACATGGACATCACTCTAATCCTATGCCTGCAGTGTCTCTGGTATGTTTGGGAATTACAGGAACACCACTCTAATCCTATTATTCCACTGTCTCTGGTATATTTGGGAAATACAGGAACACCACTCTAATCCTATCATTCCAGTGTCTCTGGTATGTTTGGGAATTACAGGAACACCACTCTAATCCTATCATTCCACTGTGTCTTGTATATTTGGGAATTACATGGACATCACTTTAATCCTATACTTTGACTGCCTCTGTTTAATTTGGGAATTACATGGACATCACTCTAAACCTAAACTTCCAATGTCTCTGTTATATTTGGGAATTACAGGGACATCATTCTTATTCTATACTTTGACTGCCTCTGTTATATTTGGAATTACAGGGGCATCACTCTAAACCTAAACTTCCAATGTCTCTGTTATATTTGGGAATTACATGGACATCACTCTAATCCTATGCTTGCAGTGTCTCTGTTATATTTGGGAATTACAGGGACTTCACTCTAATCCTATCATTCCGTTGTCTCTGGTATATTTGGGATTAACAGGAACACCACTTTAATCCTATTATTCCTCTATCTCTGGTATATTTGGGAATTACAGGAACATCACTCTAATTCTACACTTCCACTATCTCTGTAATATTTGGGGATTACAGGGACAACACTCTAATCCTATCAGTCCACTGTCTCTGGTATATTTGGGAATTACAGGAACATCACTCTAATTCTACACTTCCACTATCTCTGTAATATTTGGGAATTACAAGGACATTACTCTAAATCTTACGCGCATTAACTTTTAAACCGCTGTAAAAAATTAAATAACTTGGCACAAGTAATCACCATAATAAGACGATGTGCAGAGCGCAAAAAAATGGGTTGCTACCCCCAAGGTCAATGTCACACTTAAAGGTCAAATGTTAAAATGTCTTCATTTCATAATAAAGTCTACATTTCGTGCCCGCTCCATAACTTTTAAACTACTGAAATTTTTTAAATAACTTGGCACAAGTGATCACCATAATGAGACGATGTGCATAGCGCACTAATTTATTTGCTATCTCCAAGGTCAAGGTCACACTTAAAGGTCAAATGTTTAAAAGTCTTCATTCCACACTAAAAGTCTACATTTCGTGCCCGCTCCATAACTTTTTAACTGCTTAAAATGTTTTTTAAATTACTTGAATAACCGCTGCATTTTTGTAAAATAACTTTGCACAAGTGATCACCATAATAAGATGATGTGCATAGCGCAATAATTATGTTGCTATCTCCAAGGTCAAGGTCACACTTAGGTCAAGGTCAAATGTTAAAAGTCTTCATTTCATTATAAAAAGTCTACATTTCATGGCCGCTCCATAACTTTTAAACCGCTGAAAATTTTTGAAATAACTTGGCACAAGTGATCATACTTATGAGACGATATGCAGAGGGCAATAATTGGGTTGCCACCCGAGGTCAAGGTCACACTTAAAGATCATATGTTAAAAAAGTCTTCACTTCATATTAAAAGTCTACATTTCGTGACTGCTCTATCACTTTTTAACCGCTGAATTATTTTAAATAACTTGTCACAACTGATCACCATTATAAGTCGACGTGCAGAGCGCAATCATTGACTTGCTACCCAAAAGGTCAAGGTCACACTTTAATGTATAATTAAAAAATCTATATTTCGTGTCCGCTCCACATAACTTTTTAACCGCTGAAGTTTTTTGAAAATAACTTAAACAATTGATCACCATTATAAGAACATGTGCAGAGCGCAATAAGTGGGTTGATACCCCAAGGTCAAGGTCACACTTAATGGTCTACATTTTGTGTCCCCTACATAACTTTTAAACCTCTGTTTTTTAAATAGCTTGGCACGAGTGATCACCATTATGAGCGATGTGCAGAGCGCAATAATTGAATTTCTACACCCGAGGTCAAGGTCACACTTTAAGGTCAACTGTTAGAAAGTCTACATTTTGTGTCTGTCCATAACATTTAAACCGCTGCAATGTTTTTAAGATAACTTGGCAGTATTGATCACCATTATGACACCATTGGCAGAGCACAATAATCAAGTCACAACCCTGAAGGTCAGGGTCACACTCAAATGTACAATGTAAAAAACATCTTTTTTTCTGTCCGCTCTATAACTTATTGACAATTCAGATGTTCTAAAATTACTTAGCACAAATGATCGCCACCATGGCAATCTGGAGTTCAACATCTAAGTTGCTACCCCAAGGTCAAGGTTATATGTTCTCCATAACTTTTTTACTGTATGGAATATTTTAAATAACATGGCACAAATAATAACCATCATTAGACTATGTGCTTACGATATGCATGGCATAACATCAAGGCCGTGGCTGATAAAAGGTCAAGAAGTACACTTCGATAGGTGATTTAACTGCCCTACAGACTGCCTTGTTTTTGCTGGTGTTTACTTATTGCGACGGAAGGGAAAGGGAAAGCGATAGAAATATCATATTCAGATGCTCGTTCATTGGTTACTTTTTCTGGGGTTTCATATTGTGACAAAAGGGAACGTGTTTTTTTATGTTTGACTATGATACAAAAGAGAAAGAACATCAAAACACTCCGCAATCTGATTATTACTCGGGGGCTACGCCCACTCGTACAAATCGGATAGCCTTGTGTGCCGATGCTCTTTCTATAACATAATTCAAACTCAGCCTTTCGAATCTTTCTAAATTCATTATTTTTAATGAATATGCATTTTTAAGACAAATGATTCACCGTCTACTGTAAATTGACCATTTTCGAGTAATTTTTCTAGTAAAGCATATAAATAAACCGTGCCAAATCTAAGATTTATTCTTAAAATGGAGTATCATATATTTATAACTTCCCACAGCGCGTGCCTGCCTATTCAATTTATTGGAGACAGATAGTTTTGTACTTAGTCGTACCAATAAATCATTAATTCTCCCCCTATTATAAATCATTAACCTTATCACGTTAATAGAGACGACAACAATATCTATAATTATCCAGTTTTTTTACCGTGCCGCCAAAGACGACGGGAAGAATAATTGAATGTTGCATTATTACCGCGATAAATCCCGTAATGTTCCTAATATACGGCAGTTAAATGAAATTGCATTCTGACGGTAGCCTTGTCGAATGGGTTTCAGTAAGAAATATACGGGTAATAAAATCTGCAACATTGGACTTCAAAGTGGTTAGCTAAATAAAATCGGATCCACGGAGAGAGAAAATTGAGGAAAATTAGCCTATACTTGGATGTACATTTTGGTAACATTTAACGGAATTAACTCGAAAATATGTTCACTAAATCAACTTCAAGACTATCCGGTTACTAGTTTATTTCAAATTTTACATAGATATATATTTTTTTGTGTTTGATAAAGTTTATCATCACTTGTTCGGGACCTGATGGTGATTTCGGACAGCGGCGGGCACTTGAAAATTTGAAACTAAACACCAAAAATAATTTTGCAAGCCTATAAACCGTAATTTTGTGCAATGCTTAGAATGTAATGCATATGCGAATTTATTACATGCAATCATATGAACTAATTTAATACTGTTCTGTTTGTATTTTTGTACAAATTTGTACCAGGGTCTTTCAAAGGTATCATTATCCACAAGATCGTTACATGCAGAATGCGACAACATTCAGACTTCCAATTGGCGTTGGCCTTAAGCAACGAGCACCGTGCAGAATACGACAACCTTCAATGGTGACCTCCAGAAAGTATTGGCCTTTTAACCAGAGCACCATAAAGAGACGTCAAACTTTTGATGACGGTGACCTTCAGAAGATCACCAGCATCAGAAGATAGCTATTTTGTGTTTTTAAAAAAATATGACCACTTGTGAATAATGGTGACCTTTGGGGAAAAAAACACATTGAGAAGATATTGTCCTGTAGAGAACATAGCCTTCAAAAAGTGACGTCATCCACATTGGCTTAGTTTCTGCTTTTAGAATGAAAATTACTTATTGCGTACGTTCATGTCAAAATGGCAGTTTTGAAAGAGAAAGAAGCGCTTGGTATCTTCGAGTGTTTAAGCCTTAAATTCAAGTAAGACTTTGTAAAATAATACATTAGACACACTATGAGCAACAAATATAGGTTTCTTCTTTAGAAAGGGCACATATGAGTTTCACAACGTT